CCTCACGAGCCTGCAGGGTGCTCTCCCTGCCTGTCCCTTGGGAGGCTCTTGTTGGTGGGTGAACTTGACAATGAGACTCAAAGTTTGCCCCCAGTCTTTTTGCGGGTGCTGCAGTCACACTGAACTGCAGGGCTCTCTTCCTGTGCTGCCCCTGAGAGTGTTTTGTCGGTAAGCGGAGGCACAGTCAGAATGGATGCCTTCCCCCAGTACGTGTGCTGGCGACGCGGTGACGGTGACCGGCAGGGCACTCCTTCTACACTGCCAACTACAAGGTTCAGCTGGGACTATGGGAATGTGTGTGTGGGGGCGGGGGGTTAATCTTCCTCTCTCCCCAAGAGTGGAGTCACTTTGGAAAGCCACTTGTCCCTGCCAAGACTGCTTTTGCAAGGTTTGTTGGGGCAGGAGCCGCTTTGAAGGGACGCCAAGTGGGGTGGGTGGGATGGGGTGGAGACTCCGAAGAGCGTGGAGACAGAGCACGCAGTGTTAGCGACATATGTGGATTGTGTGCGGTGGTGCAGTGGTGGGGGGGGGCAGGGAAATGGTGCCTACCAGCTCCTTTGTTCTTGGAGAAGTCTCCTGAAGATCCTCGCTGCCCCTCCAGCACACATTCGGAGGTTAGCAAATAAATCTACACCTCAGTAAATAAATCTACCATATACCTCAGGCCCTTTCCAAACTGCTGCTTCTAGGTTGTATCGTGGCTGGGTTATTTATTATGCTGGCTCTTTAAGGGTGGGGATTCCCTTTCCTATTGCCCTCTGACTCTCCTGGAGCTAAGCCTCCTGATTTTTACAATATTCAGAGGTAAGCCCTGCTGATTATAAAAATTCATGAAATTGAGCCCCACTGGTTTTTAGAGCCAAATGTCATGGGTCCTCGTCTTCCCAGTTTGGGTGCCCCATACCTGGGGTGCCCGGTGTGGAGTCGGATGCTCTTGCTTCTCCATGCTTGTGGTCCCTCCTGTTTGTGGTTAATCTCTCCAAAGTGTTTGGCTCCCAGCTACGTTTCTGCCCCTCCTACCCTTTCAATGTGGCCTCCCCTCTGTGATTAACTGTGGAATATATGTTCTGCCAGTCTTTTCTATGTTAGTTGCACTCATGTGGCTGTTATCTCAGTGTGTCTGTGGGATGTAGTGAGCTCGGGATCCTCTGACTCTGCCATCTTCCCAGAACTCTACATCTCTTTATGTTGTGTATCCGTTATCAGATTTTTGTAGCTAGAACTATTTTTGATAATTTTATCCTTTAACCTTTGTACTAACGGTAAGTGACTAACACACCACCTTGTTAAGATTTTAACTTATTCTGAATCTCACTATATACTTAACTTTAGTAGTGTGTTATATATTTTCATAGTTTCTTTTTACTTCTTAGAGGTGTTTTATTTCAGCTTGGAGAACTCCTTTCAGTATTTCTTATAAGGCAAGTCTAGTGGTGCTAAACCCCCTCAACTTTTATTTGTTTGGGAAAGTCTTTATCTTGCCTTCATTTCTGAAGGGCAGATTCACTGGGCAAGTGTTTTTGGTTAGCAGTTTTTCCTTTTAGCACTTTGAATATATCATCTCCTACTTTCCTGACACGTAAAGTTTCTGCTGAGAAATGCACTATTCAACTAAGGGGCATTCCTTTGTATGAGAGGATTTTGGTTTTTCTCCTGATCCTTTAAATTCTGTTTTTGTCTTTGGTTTTAGACAGTTTTATTATAATGGTTGTGGAGACCAAAATTTTGATTAAAATTTTGGGGTGACAGCCTTATGAACTTGAATATCAAATCTTTTCCTACTTTTGAGAAGTTGTCAGCCATTTTATCTTCAGGTTTCTTCTCTTCCTTTCTGAGACCCCAGTGATGCATAGATTGTCTCTTAATGGTACCCCATAAGTCTCACAGGCTTTGGTCATTCATTTTTATTATTATTATTATTTTATTTTCTGAACTGGGTTATTGCAAATAATCTGCCTTTGAGTTCACTGATTCTTTCTTCTGTTTGGTCCAGTCTACTGTGGGGCTCTTGTAAATCCTTCAGTGTAGTCAGTGTATTCCTTAGATCCAAAATTTCTGGGTTTGGTTTGGTTTTGTTTTGTTTTATGTTTTCTATTTTTGAACTTCTCATTTTGTTCTTCTACTGTTTTTCTGATTCCATTAAATTGTTGATCTTTGTTCTCTTGTACCTCTCTGGACATCTTTAGACCTGTTATTTTTAATTCCTTTTTAGGGTACTTATATCCATTTTGGGGATCCATTACTGGAATTTATTGTGTTCCTTTGGTGGTGTCAGGATAACCTGATTCTTGATGTTCCCTTTAGCCTTACATAAGTATCTACATATTTGAAGAAGCAGTCACCTCTTCCAAACTTTGGGAGACTGATTTTGCTAAGGAAAACCTTCACCCTGGGATAGAGCATATTATGACCCCAGGTCTCATGAGGTAAGGCACGACAGGGGCATGCGGCATCTTTAGGTTCTGGGAGACATGATGTCTCATTAGCTCAGACCAGTGGGGTCCATAGCATCAGCAACTGTGTGGTAGTTGGTGAGTGTGGTGTAGTCTCCATAGTCACTGCAAGAGCTGGTAGGATTCTTAGCAGCAACTCCAGCTCCAGGGACTAGGGGCCAGAACAGGAAGTGCTAGGGGCCCAAGCCAGTGGTGTGCACGTACTCAGATGTGAGGGCCTACTGTAGTTTTTTGTGTACTGGCAGGGGTCAGTTTCAGACATGCACATCGTGTTGAGGGCAAGGGCCAGGTGAATGCTGGCATGCTAGCAGCTGTAGGAGCCCTAACCATCCATGTGCTCTCCCGTGGCTGTGGTGTCTCACCACAGATGCTGGCACAGTAGTGGAGGCCAGTGAGAGGAGACAGGGCCAGGTCTGGGCTCACAAACAGCATTGAAAGCCTTGACCATTGGGATGCATTCCAACAGCTGCAGGGCTTACCACAGACATGCTCACGGTAGCAGAACAAGTAATGGAAGTCAGGCTGGGGGGCCTATAGGTGCACATTTGGAGAAGCTAGCCCCAGGCACCCACAAGGGGTGGGGTTCGACGCTGCCTCTTGCACTAGCACAGCTGCAGAGGCAGGGGCTAGCTGCCTGTGTGGAGCCCATTCTCTGGCACAGGTGAGGCGAAGGGAATGGGAAGGGACACAAGCAGCTGGGATCTGCAAATGCAAAAACCTGTGGGTTAAAAGCCAGTGAAATCCACAGGGGTCCATGGTGGCTGTACTGATCACTGGTTTCTTCTGTGGGGAAAGTTGCCAGGTCCTCTGTAAAGAGCAAGTCACCGGGAACCCTGGTCGCTGATACTGGGTGGCCCCTGCCCTTCTTCCTTGTTCCTAGTCATGTCTATACATCTCAGCTCTGTTAGTCCCTGGGTGGGTGAAACCAAAGCAGGTCCTTCATGCAATACCCAGAAAGACTGGAGAAGCTGGTCCCTCTCCCTTTCCTGGGGAGGGGAACTCTCTGGCCAGTGAGTTACCTCTTGGCGCTGAGCAGTGTCAGGTTGGTGGATGGGGGGATAGGGACAAAATGAAGCTTTCTTTCTTCCTTTTTTTTTTGAGGTTGTTCTCAGGTTTTTGTTCCACTATGTTGAAGTTTCTTTAGTTGACTCTTAAGCACTCCAGAACTCTTTGTAGATAGCTGTCTAATTCTTGATTTTGTGGGGGACAGAGGCTGGCTTCTCCTACTGCACCATCTTGGTGACATCAGCTTCTCCTATTTCTATAATGATCCCTTCCCAGTTTCTTTCTTTGGCTTTTTATAATCTCTCCTTACCTTAAATGTCAGCACCACTCAGGTTTCTTTCCTTGGCCCCTTCTCACTTTACACTTAAGTGTGTGCACCAACTCAAGAAAGCCAAGCAAATGATAAAAGATCCAACAGAAAGTTGCTTATCTTCCATGGGAATCAGGTTATTACTTTAATGTCAGCTGATACTATCACTCTACAAGGTTACTTTTACTTTTACAATAATAATTTAGTCTTAATATGAAATAAGGCCTTTCTCATATCAGTACAGTTATCCTTTTGCCTTTAAATATTCCTTTACAGATAGGTAATTCAGTGATACACTTCTGTTCTTACTTCCTGCACCTCTGACAAGTAGCATAACACAGGGCAGACATACCAGCCCTGGAGCTATGGAGCTTTTTGATCAACTTAATACCTTGTAAACTCAGCACATTTGCCTTTGTAGATTTATAATACTTATTTTCATTTTTTTCTAAAATCAGATTGAACATATGAAATATTGTTTTCTTTATATGGTCTCAGACACTCACCTCATCCATATTTACTGATTCCCAAAATATCTTCATTTGTTTTATATATAATAATGTCCTGGGCACTGTGCATCAATTAGCCAATAAAAGGACATAGTCCTGAAGCATTGACTTCTAGAGATTATATGATTAAAAAAATAGATATCTTTAACCCACTGAGCCACCCAGGCGCCCCTAGATATCTTTAAATGAAAAAAAAATCACCTTCTAAAAAACATGTAACTTAACATACAAATCAATGTCCCTTTCAGAACATTTATAGTGCAAGGCTGATTAATAAAGGATTTGCATTGCAAATTAATGAATTTGTATTTGCCATAAGTTACAGCATGTAAACACTATAGTTTTTCTTTTTTTCTTTTTTTTTATTTCTTTTCAGCGTAACAGAATTTATTGTTTTTGCAACACTACAGGTTTTCTTAGGCAAAATGATCATGTCACATTTTTAAAGATTTATACTCATGCGACTGGCTATATGAACTCGTAGTATTGTTAAGACAGCATGCAGATTCAAGCCTCTCAGCCCTTTGACATGTGAGAACCAATAGTTATGTTTAATTATAGATATATGTAGCTTTTTAAACATTTAATATTTAATTGTTTATCTGTAATAGAATGTAAGGAAGATATTGAAGGACTTAGAAACATGTATATTGAAATTGGAATATTCAAACTAATATTTAGTGTGCTGTTTACTAAAATATGATTCCTCTTTTTCCCCAACAGAAATTTCTTCCACAATTTAACCCAGGTAAAACATTTTTTAAAAATTTTATATATCCTTCATATATCACTACTATATTATTTCCTTCTAATCATTTATGTTTCCCACAAGGAGAATTTTCCAAACTAATTTTCAACAAAAGAAGCTTAGAGTGCAGTGATACTTCAGATATGGTTTGAGGACCCCTAGAGCTCCACAGACCTTTTCAGGAGATTCATGAGGTCTACCCTTTTCCACCTACATATCTGTGTGAGGATAGATTTTCTCCATATGCTTCCACCAAAACAACATATACCAACAGCTTGAATTGGGAACACAGATGATAATTCAGCTGTCTTCTATCAAATATAAAACCATTTTTCTAATTTTTTTGTTTTGTAAAATAGTTATTTTTCATAAAAATATATATCATGTTAACATTTATGGGTTTATTTTGGCTTTTAAAATAAGCACCTTCCAATCTTCTCAGTTTTAATTTGTACCTGGTAACATGGTAAATACTGATAGATCTAACCCACATAAAACAAAAGCTCTGTGAGACTCTCAATAATTTTTAAGGGTCTTGAGATTGAAAAGTTCTAATATCTGATCTGGAGACTCTTACCCATAGGAAACAAACTGAGGGTTGTTGGAAGGGAGGTGGGTAGGAGGATGGGGTAATTGCATGATGGGCATTAAGAATGTGATGTGGGTATGATGAGGGTGATGTGATGAGCACTAAGTGCTATACACAACTGATTAATTATTAAACTCTACATGTGAAACTAATGATGTACTCTATGTTGGCTAATTGAATTTAAGTTAAAAAAAAAATCTGGTCCAAGGGTGGAAGCTGGCAGTGGAGTAGGAGGACCCTAGGCTTGTCTCTTTCCATAAGTACAACTAGATACTATCAAATTATCCTAAATACACCAGAACTTGACCTGAAGACTGGCAGAATAAACTCTACAACTACAGGTAGAGAAGTCACACTGAAGAAGTTAGGAAGCACAGAGATGCAGTTTGGGAGAGAAACAGATCATGGCCACTGTGGAAGGGAGGGAAGGGTGAGAGCTAAACCAGCACACAGGGGGAGCACACGGGAGAAATGAATCCCATACCAGTTGGCTTGGAAAGTAAGGAGGGCTGAATATTGTGAGTTCTTGCAACCAGCAGGAATTAAAGCCTAGAGTTTTAAAGGCCAGTGAACTTGACTGGGATACAGCCCAGAGAGTACTGCACTGTGCTTGGGAAGAAGCCAGACAACTAGCCGACACACAGCATGGAAACAGTGATGAAGGAGCACCTGCAGCACACACTGGGAAGGTGTCAGTCCCAGAGAGGCAGCACTCATGGAGAGACACCTCTGGGAACAAAGGAATTGGCCGAAACCATTTCCCTATCCTGACCCTCAGTTTAAGCACAGGGCTACCTGCAGGAACCAGTGCAGTGCCAACACTTGCTAACTTACTTGTGTTTATAAAACCCTAACCCCCACACGCACTCCAGTGAAACCACCCATCTGAAACATGCTCGCCCAGTCCCAGTGCAGCAGGCCATCTCCCAGAAGACTGCCCAAACCCCTGCTCACACTGTACTTCCCACTGTGGGAGTTTTGCCAAGCCTCTGTTCTGCCAGCAGTGGCAACAAGTCTCATTTCACAAACAGACCAAAGCACACCTAGTTAAAACATGCCACATTAAGTCCAGGGACCAAATACTGCCTGCAACAGGCAAAGAGAGACTCTGCAGAAAACTGGCCTGAAGGATAAAGCAGCCAGAATGAAATAGCAGAGTACATGTAGCACATATTGGAGACACTCCCAGAAGTGCCAGGCCCTGGGGAACAAGGGACATTACATGGCAGAGCACTACAGGACCTCTTCTTCTTAAGGCCATTACCATCAAGAATAGGAGACATAGCTAATGTTTATAACACAGAGAAACAGACTTAGAGATATAGACTAAGTGAGAAGACAGAGAAATTTATCCCAAATGAAAGAACAGGACAATGCCACAGCCAGAGAGCTAAGTGAAGCAGACATAAGTAACATGCTTTGGTAGAAAATGTAAAGCATTGATCTTAAGAATACCTCAAAAGAGTAGAAGACATGAGTGAGACCTTTAGCACAGAGATAAGGAAAAACATAGAAGAGAGAGAGAGCGTGATAAAATGAGAAACATACTTCATGGAATGAACAGAGGTTAGAAGAAGCAGAGGAATGAATTAGTAACCCAGAAGACAGAATGATGGAAAGTAATCAAGGTGAACATAAGAGATAAAAAAGAATTAAGCAAAACAAGAATAGAGTTAAGGAACTCAGTGACTCAATAAAACATAGTAACATTCATATAATAGGAGTCCCAGGAGAAGAGAGAAAATGGATTAGAAAATTTATTTGGAGAAATAATAGCTGAAACTTCCCTAATCTGCAGAAGGAAACAGATATCCATTTCCGGGAGACACAGAGAACCCCCATCAAAATCAACAAAAGCAGACACACACCAATACATATTGTAATTGAACTGGCAAAATATAGTGATAAAGAAAAAAATTTTAAAGCATCAAGACAAAAAAAGACAGTAACTTACCAGGGAAAACCCATAAGGCTAGCAGGAAATTTTTCAGCAGAAACGTTCCAAGCCAGAAGGAAGTCAAGTGGCAATGGGAAAAATCTGCAGCTGGGAATACTCTTATCCAGCAAGGTTATCTTTCAGAAAAGGAGAAGAGATAGTTTCCCAGACAAACAAAAACTAAAGGAGTTCATGACCACTAAACCAGCACTGCAAGAAATATTAAAGAGGACACTTTGAATGGAAAGGAAAGACCAAAAGTGACAGTATAAAGATAGGAATCACAAAACCAGTAAAAATGAATATTTCAGTAAAAAAAATTCAAGGAATTCACAAAATTGAAGTATGTGAAATATAACAACATATATCTAAAATGTGGGGAGGAGGAGAGTAATGAATGGGTTCAAACTTTAATGACCATGAACTTAACATAGACTCTTACATGAAGAAGAGGTTATATATAAACCTAGTGGAAACCACAAATCAAAAACCACTAATAAATTTACAAAGAATAAATAGAAAGAAATCTATACATGCCACTAAAAAAAAAATCAGCAAATCATGAAAAAGGGAAAGGAAAGGATCAGAGAAAATCTTCAGAAACAATCACAAAGCAGATAATAAAATGATAATATCTATCAATAATTATTTTGAATGTAAAGGGACTAAACGCTTAATGCAAAGATGTAGGGGTGACAGAATATGTAAAAAACCAACACCCACCTACACGCTGCCTACAAAAGACTCAATAAAAGTACCAATACTTATATTGGACAAAATAGACTTTAACCAAAGAGTGTAACAAGAGACAAAGAAGGACACTACATTTTAATAAAGAGGACAAGCCAACAAGAAAATATTACAATTATAAATATGTATACATCCAACACAGAAGCATCCAGTTAATAACAAACATAAAGGAACTAATTGATAATACATTAATATTAATAGTAGGAGACTTTAACACCCCACTTACATCAATGGACAGATCATGTAAACAGAAAATCAACAAGGAAACAATGGCTTTGCATGATACGTTGGGCCAGATGGACCTAACAGATATATTGAAAGCATTCCATTCTAAAATAGTGATTGAAAATTTACTATAAAGACAGTAAAATAATAATAACTATCATAATAAGTAAACCTCCTGGTATAATGAAGCCTCCATAAAACCCCAGAGGACAGGGTTCAGAGGGCTTCCTAGTTGGTGATCACATGGATAGTCAGCAAGAGTGAACACCAAGAGAGGGCATGGAAACTCCTCACCCTTTTCCCATGCCTTGCCCTCTGCATCTTTTCCATCTTGCTGTTCTTAAGCTACATCCTTTTATAAAAGCCAGTAATCTATGAATTTCTCTTCAACTTCTGGATCATCCCTGACTCCTGCATCCAGGGAAATGTTGAGGACTCTTGACCAAGAGCCTGAATGAGTAAGGAATTCCCCAAAGAGAAGCTAAAGACAAGGTCGTTGCTTTGGCTTCCTGATTCTTCCCTCAGCCTGAACTGGGAAGTAATTCACGAGGGAGAAGTGAAAACAGCACCTTATCTCTGGCTTCCTGTTTTTTATTTCCTTGCACTCCAGTATGTGGTTTCTGAGAGTGAGGAAGTAGAAGCTGACAAAACTATTGTCTGAGTTACAGCCTCAGAGCCATTTCCCTGAAGCACACAGAAGTGACCTGGCAACACTTCAAGGTTTCAGCCACAGGCCCTGCCATGGAAGCACGACACAGGATACTGATTCCCCTGCCTCTTGCTGTTATTCCCATCCCAGGGAGTTGTGTCTGCTGCCCTCTGCCCAGCCACCCAGCAGGTGCCTCAACAACAAAGTCCCTGGGCAGACACAGGCCCGCAACATGCATTTATATACATAATTTTTTAATTAACATAGTTTAAATAGTACTTTTGTCCTAGCGTGTGCAAAATAAATAAATAAACCTTCCAATAGCAGATCAAGATAGTTGAATGAGTCCATGTGTCCATGTGTACTCTTATCCCAAATCCAGCTGATGTTATAGAATTTCTTATTAAAGCTATAACTGGAACAGTGAAAAAAAAGCAAGAGAGTGTTTATTATTGGATAATTTTAATATAGGAAATAGAGAGAAAATTCTAGAAGTAGAATACATATTACAGACCCAAATAATACAGAATAACCTCCATCTCACTCAAAACAAAGAAATGCCTTTAGAAAATATGTGTGGAGAATGCCAGTCTACACATTTACATCAACATAGGTGCATTTGTGTCAGAAATAATTAAGGAATCTAAAGCCAGAGTTATAACATTGACTTTGGAACTATGAGTGTTAGAAGATAAGCCCTAGATAGGGGTGATGTTTTATTGTATGTATGGGGATAGAAAATGAAGGCCTCTAACCTATGAGAGAAGGAGGAGCTGAAACTAGTCTCCCTACATTTCGCTAGGGTTTATAAAATATCTGTAAAGTGTGAAAGAGTAAAGTTCCACTCACAGGCTTAGAGTAATTCCAAAGAAATGATATATCCTCTGAGGGCTATAAATGCATTAGGAGTTAGCTACATGAAGTGTCACGTGGATGTTCAAGTTTAGTAGCCCAAGAGTCTGAAGAACATAAAGCCAAGTAATAAACACAAAATGCAAGCAGTGAAATACATAGGGTCCAGGCAGAGGTGACTGCAAAACTCATTTCCATAACCCAGAGCATATAAGATTCTCATAGAAGACAGTCCCTCTGAAAATAACCTCAAAGTAAAAGGTATAAACCAGGGTGCCTGGGTGGCTCAGTGGGTTGGGCCTCTGCCTTTGGCTGGGGTCATAATCTCAGGGTCCTGGGATCGGGTCCCATGTCAGACTCTGCTCAGCGGGGAGCCTGTTTCCCTTCCTCTCCCTCTGCCTGTCTCTCTGCCTACTTGTGATCTCTCTCTGTTGAATAAATAAATAAAATCTTTTTTTTTTAAAAAGGGTATAAACCACAAAAACAGTCTGGAATAGACACATAAAAATCGAGAAAGTTCATACTATTGAAAGCTAGAAATGAGAACCATCTGAAAGACTACTGAATCCTAAATAAGCATTGACAATCAAAACTTTTCAGTAATGATTTTTTTAAACAAAATAAAATGAAAAAGCTAGCCAACAAAACAGTGGAAAATGAAGGGGGATTTGGGTTTAAATTTGTTTAAGGTCCTTATAAGCATTCAGGATAGGGATACTGGATTAACTTTAGCCTACATTAAATATACATGTAAAAATGTAAGATTGTCCATTAAAGTAATAGAAATAATTATGTAATTTCTAAAAAGTAGAGTTCTGGAAGAAGAAATTTTAAAACACTAATAATTTAATAGAAGGTAATGAAACATGAAATAAAGAAAAATTAAAACATAGAATATAGAGCCCTAAAGATAAGATTTTTTAAATCATTTAAATTAAATTAGTAATCAAAATTGTGATTGGATTAAAAGTTACACAGTTAAAGAGTAACACAAAATTTGGAAAGAAAAGGATGCAAACAGGTTAATACTATCAAAACTGGGGTGATGATATGAATGTCAAATAAAAGATAGGTGAAGCCCCAAAACTTTAAAAGGCATAAAGAGGGAAACTATTTCATGACAACAGAAAAATCTATGAAGAGGAAAATAATATCATCTGTACTTAACAATATAGTCTCACCTGATCATAAAGAAGATAGAAATTTCCCTCAATTCATTTCCTGCATCTAACTCTACTTTAAAACAAAAGGCAGGCAAAGAGAAAGTTAGGAAGGGAGGGAGGGAAGGAAGTGTAGACCAATATCCTTGTGTATATAGGTGCAAAAATTCTACACAAATATTAGCAAATAGAATCCAGCAATATATTAAAAGAATGCATTGAAAAAGGCCAGTATCTTCCAGAATGCAACATTGATTCAATACCAAGAAAGCAGAAGACAATATCCATTCCATCAACACAATAAAGAAGGAAATAAATGATCACATAGTAAATTTAAAAAATGAATAGGAATTCCCAATGAAAACACCAATCAAATCAGGAACTGGACAGATGTGCTCAGTATCATCATTATTATTTAACATTGTCTTGAACATAATAGTGTAAGTAATAAGACAAGATGTACAATATTACAAATTTATACTGGCAATAAAGAGTATAAAATACTTATGAATAAATTTAACAAGAAAGACACAGAATCTGTAGCAAGAGCCACTCTCAAATTTTGTTGAATGAGGGACACTGGGTGATGTATGGAACTATTGAATTACTATATTGTACACCTAGAGAATATTATTCAGGCCTTATAAGAGTTGACACTGGAGAATTTCAGTGATGTATATATTTGCATAAGAAAAAGAGCATGTGGGAAGTGTGTATAATATGATCCAGTTTTGTTTTTAAAACTCTTAAAATGTCTCTTTTAAAAAAATACATAAATGTAAATACCTCTTTTTAAAAAAGAGTAAATATGTATACATGTCTGCAAACACATAGTGTGGAGAAAAATATGAAGGATACATACTACTTGTTTAAATCAAGTTACATAGATTGAGAGAGTCTTAATAGGTGAAGAAAATATAAGGAGAAATAAAACCCTGCTATAAAAACCATGGGAGGAGGGAAGGAAAGAAAGAAGGGAGGGAAGGCAGAATTACATAGGGACAATACAGAATTAAGGCAAACAGGTGAAATAGGATAAATAGGAATGTCCTATAGCAATAAAAGGAATGAAATCTTCATATATGCGTATGTGTGTGTGTATATATCCACATAGCCAAAACATAGATCCAGATATAAAACATACAGATGTACAAGTTCTTAACATAAAGAACTTCCACAAATTAATAAATAAAAGACTAACAACCCAATAGAAAAATGGAAAATAGGTAAAGGAAATGAACAAATAGTTCACAAGACAGGAAATACAAGTGGAATTTGAACACATGGAAAGATGCTCAAACATTTCTATAATAAGGGAGATGCAGGTTAAAACTGTACCAAAGCACCATTTCTCACCCATCAGACCGGCAAATTATAAACGTGACAACACATGATGCTGAGAAGGCTGTGAGGAAGGAAGAAATCTCATACATTGCTGATGTGACATGTATTAGAGGAGTTGCTTCAAGAACAATTTAGCAGTATCTATGAAAATTACAAATGCATATGCCTCAACAGTTACACTTTAAGGTCCCAGGTACAAAATAATACATATACAAAGTTGCTCATTATGGCATTGATTATAATGGCAAAGGACTGAGAATGAATGTTTATTAGTAGGTTACTATTTAATTATGATTCCTCCATAATTTGGAATAATAAGCAGTGGGAAAGGTAATGAGAATATGTAAAGATCTCTAAGATAAAATTTTAAGTGAAGAATATAATGTTTGAAAACATGTGTTTAGCATACTTACATTTTTTTTTAAAAGATTTTATTTGTTTATTTGACAGAGAGAGAGAGAGATCACAAGTAGGCAGAGCAGCAGGCAAAGATAGAGGGGAAAGCAGACTCCCTGCTAAGCAGAGAGCCCGATGTGGGGCTCGATCCCAGGACCCTGAGATCATGACCTGAGCCAAAGGCAGAGGCTTAACCATTGAGCCACCCAGGTGCCCCGCATACTTACATTTATATAAAAAATAACATCTGAATTAGTCATGCACAAAAATTTTACAGAAATATAAATAAGGAAACTTACTAATAGTAGGTCCTTGTTGGGTGCAGTGGGCTTGTGGGGATTGAGTGATGGAGTACAGAATGGGAGAGAAAATTTCAACTTAAGTTTTAATTTGTTTTTAACTATGTGAATAAATTGTCTATTCAAGAAAAAATTTAAGAAGAAAGAAAAAAATTAGATCTACATCTATTGAAATGACCATGGCATATAAGTAACAAAAGCAAGTTAGAAATAACATGCATTGTGTGATTTCATTTTTGTAAAAAGTGCAGGGCTGAGGAGTTGCTGTGTCTAATTATGATTGTAGAGAAAGAGATTTATACACATTCATACAGAGTTTTAACATTGGTTACCTCAGGAGTATAGACAGATCTTAACTCTTCCTTCATAGGTCTTTGGTTTGTTCCACTTGTTAAACACACACACACACACACACACGCACACACACACACACAGATCACTTTTGATATTTTTAATGGGATAATCACAATTTTTTAAATAAATAAAAACATTTTTGTGGTTGTGTTTTGCCACAACTAAAAATGAAATCTGTCCAAAATGTAGGGAAACACAAACGCTTTTTATTTTGTAGGTTATTGTTATATGGATATATGATCCAGAAAATGCAGACCCTGAAGAGTTGCTATGGACGGCCCAGGAACCGTCACTAGTAGGTGGAAACATTATTATTATCATAAATTTTAAAATATGCTATCCTTCGAATAATCTATTCTAAGCATTCCAGAACTAACTACATGCATCTTAATTGTCCAGTATCCTTCGCCATCGTAGAGATTTTGAGCCTAATGCTCAATCTCCGCAATTACGAATCTTTCTCTTGAATTCTATCGAGCATTGTCCGTAATTCCTGCGAACTGCATTATTCATGAAGATGCTAACATTCAAAGTGCTTTAAAGATGTTCCTTGTGCATCTATCTTAAAATCATCCTTCAAAAATCTGTCCAGTCGGTTAGTGAATCCTTTACCACTTGGAGACCAGTGAATTTCCTAAAGGTGCAGCACAGCGGATAAATATGGATGATTTTCAATTTATGGTGGATTGCCTTGTGGTTTTTCAACTTTACCATAGCAGTGATAAGCATTCTATAGAAACTCTACCCTGAGCTTGGGTCTTTTCCCCAGGCTAGCGGGCTAGCAATATGTGGTATGATACCAGCACACGACGCTGGGTGGCGGCAGTCATCACAGGAGTAAACCATCAGTACACTCAAACTGTTCTGAACCCATACTACCATTGTTTTCACTTTCAGTACAGTATTCAATGGTTTCCATGAGATATTTAACACTTTATCAAAAACAGACCTTGTGTTAGATGATTTTGCCCAACTGTAGGCTAAATGTAGGTGTTTTGAGCCCATTAAAGGTTGGCTAGGCTAAGCTATGATGTTGGTACATAAGGCACATTGAATGCCTTGTTGACTTACGATATTTTCCATTGACAATGGGCTTATCAGGACATATTCCATCATAATTCAAAGAAAATCTATAAGTTCTTTCTCTGATTTGTTACAAATTTACCTCTTTCGAGACTTGAGTTCTGTCTTCTGCTACAATTAAAGTGTATTGAAGAGAAATATAAAATGAGTGGTTTTAATCTCATGTGATACTATGTCTTAATGAGTCAAGATCTGGTTTTTGAATAGCATGTTACATGCCTCTTGGTAATGAAATTCACAAGAGATGGACTGATAAATCAGAATGACAATCTATCAATTAATTGTTTTATTTGGCAAATGGCTTTAGAGGGCATACAATTAATCAGTTGTAATTAAATACTTTAAGCATTACTGTTACTTAATTTCTAATCCTTTTAAGTGAAAATATGTGCATTTTAATGTTATTTCATCCATGCATACCTAATACTTCGCTTTTGGAAAATTTCATGTTTATTCACGACCATGTCATTCCCATAAAACCTTTCTATGGCTCTTAGTTACCAACAGCAGACTTTTGGCTCTTAAGACACTTGTGGCACACAAAGCCCTGGAATATTCTGTCTCTGCTACTCTTCTCTGGCCTCAGCTCTCCACATGTCCTACCTCTAGCAACAGCACTCTGCTGTTTCCCTGCACACACCTGCTGTTCCATGGCTCTGAGTCTTTGCTGATGCTGTTCCCTCTATGGTAACTGCTCATTCCCTATGTTCATTTTCTCATGTTTTCTGTCTCAATTCAGATATCACTGTGTCTAGGATGCTTGCCTTGACCAAATCAGGATTTTTTCATATGAGTATTTTGAGGGCATTATTTTAATGCTACAGTTTTGGTAAATCATCAACAAAACAGCTCTGGCAAAATAAATGTAAATTGTCTGTTCGTGTTTTTATCAGCCAATATGTAATGCGACTGATGGGCACTCAAATCAGCGTTCCACCTTTCCTCTTCGTTCTCTTCCTGAACCACCTCTGACCTTAAACTCTAAATATTCCCTCATCTTTAACTCATTCCTGTGTTTTATTCTCTCTTTGGACCTCAACCCATCCCTGTCTCTCATTAACTTCCTCTATGAGACTTACCCTGTGCCCAACACCCACACCAGAGAAAAGAGGACCAACCGTGGGGTACAGCTCGGGGTAGGGTACAGAATAACTTACTTGTACAATTTGGTTTAAAAAATATTCGAAAGTTCAGGGTTTTATTTTGAGGTTTTTTTCTTTACCATTTAACTGTAAATTATATCATAAAGAAAAAACATAAAATTTTAGTATACACCTTAATGAATAACTATAATTAGTCATATAACCACTATCAAGAAGTAAAACACTAATAGTAGTACAGAGGGTCCCCTTATGTGCCACCTTCGTGGACATAATTTCTCCCTCCACCTTAGTACCTGATGAGTATAATTCCTGTATCCTTCTAAAGGTAACCATTATTCTGAATTTTATGGTAATAATTCCTCTGCTTTTATTTTTAGTTTTCCTCATGATTCTTAAACAATGAGGTTTAGTGGGTTTTAGGTTTGTGTTTATTTTTCTACTTTATATAAATGGAATCATGTTTTATATACATTGTGCATATTCCTTTTGGGTGGTCTACTTTATATAGGATTTATTTGTGTTGTAATGTACCTATAGTTTATTCATTTTTGTTCCTGTATGATATTTCATCATTTCAACCTACTATACATTTTTTATCCATTCTGCCATTGATGAATTTTGGGTTGGTTTATGTTTTGTTTTGTTTGTAATGAGTGTCGGTTTCTTTTTTGTTCAGCTTTAAAAAAATTTTTTTTAAGATTGTATGTATTTATTTGACACACAGAGAAAGATCACAAGTAGGCAGAGAGGCAGGCAGAGAGAGAGAGGGAAGCTGGCTCCCCGCTGAGCAGAGAGCCTGAGCAGGGCTCGATCCCAGGACCCTGAGATCATGACCTGAGCCGAAGGCAGAGGTTTGACCCACTGAGCCACCCAGGTGCCCCTTGCTCAGCTTTACTGAGATGCAAATGATATATAATATTGTATAACTTTATCAACTTACGGTGTACACTGCTGATCTGATACACTTACATACTGTGAAATGATTACCACAGTAGCATTTTTTAACCTTTATCACCTCACATAATTACTTGTTTTCTTTTTCTTTTTTTTCTCTTCTGTGGCAGGGTTATTTAAGATTTAAGATTTACTCTCTTATCAATTTCCAAGTATTTAATATTGTGTCATTAACTATACTCATCATGCCATACATTAAATTCCCAGAATTTATTCATCTTATAACTGGAAGTTTGTGCCTTTGACCACCATGTCCCCATTCTGCTCACCCCCTCACACCCCGCAATTCCCATTCTACTCTCCTTCTGTGAGTTCAGCTTCTTTTAGAGTCCACATATAAGCACATCATACAGTATTTGTCTTTCTCTGTCAGGCTTATTTCATTTAGCGTAATGCCCTCAAGTTCATCCATGTTGTTGCAAATGGAGACATTTCCTTCTTTTTTATGGTCAAATAATATTCCACTGTGTATTGATGCCATAACTTCTTTATCCCTTCATCCTCCAATAGACAGGTTGCTTCTATATCTTGGCTATTGGAAATAATGCTGCAATAAACATAGGGGTGCATGGATTTTTTGGATTACTGTTTCCATGTTCTTTGGATAAATACCAAGTAGTGGAATTATTGCATCATTCAGTATTTCTAGTTTTAATTTTTGGAGGAAGCTCCATACTGTTTTCCACAGTGGCTGCAGTAGTGGACGTTTATATTCTACCAACAGTGCATGAGGCTCCTCTTTCTCCACGTCCTCACCAACACTTGTTAATCTTATCTTTTTTATTTTAACCATTCTAACAGGTGTAAGGCGAGGCATCTTTTCATGGCTCTCTGAACGTCTTCTTTGGGAAAAAGTCTATTCATATCTTCTGCCCATTTTTAAATTGGATTGCTAGTTTTTGTTTGTTTTTTTTTTTTTTTTTTTTTGCTATTGAGGTCATGTGAGTTTTTCTATATTTTGGATATTACCCCCTTAAGAGATACATGATTTGCAGATATTTTCTCCCACTCTGTAGGATGCCTTTCGCTTCGGTTTTTTTTTTTTTCCATTTTGAATTCCTTTACTGTGCACATATGATTTTTATTCTTTGCTCTCTTGTAGTTAACTATACTGATTGATTTTTGGAAAGTTGAACCAGCCTTACATACCTAGAATGAATCCCAGTTGGCCATAGTATATAATTCTTTTTGTATATTGTTGGTTTCTATTTGCTATTGTATTTCCATTTAGTTCAGATTTTTAAAAATTTTTACATTTCTTTTGAGACTTCTTCCCTGACCCATGTGTTATTTAAAAGCATGTCAATTTTCAAATACTTGGGGATTGTTCAATTACATTTCTGTACTGACTTGCAGTTTAATTCTGTTATACTCTGACAACATATTTTCTATGATTTCTATTCTTCTTTAAAATTTGTTTAATTCTACTATAGGTAATGAATGGTGTTATATTAGTTTCATCTCTACAATACAGTGCAATAATTCTATATATCACTCAGTGCTTATCATGACAAGGGCACTTCTTAAACCCCATCACCTGTTTCACCCATCCTCCCACCCACCTCCCCTCTGATCATCACAAGTTTGCTCTCTATATTTAAGAGTCTGATTTTTTGTATCTTTTTTTCTTAGATCATTTGTTTTCTTAAATTCCACATATGAGCGAAATCATGCTAAGTGAAATAAGTCAGAGACTTATTATTTAATAATAAATATTAAAAATAATAAGACTTTAAAAAAATAAGTCTCTGACTTATTTCACTTAGCATTATACTTTCTAGGCCCATCCATGTTATCATCAATGGCAAGATTTCACTTCATTTTTACAGCTGAGTGGTAGTCCAGTGTATATATATCTCACAGCTTCTTTATCCATTCATCTATCAATGGACACCTGGGCTGCTTCCATATTTTGGCTGTTGTAAATAATGCTGCGATAAATATAGTGGTGCATATATCTTTTCAAATTAGTACTTTTGTTTTCTTTGGGTAAATACCCAGTAGTGAAATTACTGGATCACATAGTAATTCTATCTTTAATTTTTAAAGAAACCTCCATTCCATTTTCCACAGTGGCTACATCAGTTTGCATTCCCACCAACCATCCACCAGAGATTCTTTTTCTCCACATCCTCACCACCACTTGTTTCTTTGG